TGTTAAGATAGTAGGAGCAGTGAATGCTAGGTTCAAGTGAGGGCCTAGGCTTAGTAGCCTAGGCCAAGGGAGTCGAGGTAGTTTGTGCCAAGGAGAGAGGAGAAAATGTTGGTTTCACTATGGAGAGGGTCACAACATATAGGGCAGGAAAGGGGGGTACACCACCAAGCAGGATATCAAGATAACTACACTAGCGCTAGACCTACATGCAGTTATAACAGCATAATTCTGACATCCCCCCGTAACTGCATACAGGAATAGCCAAGTGCAAGACACCACCTGCAGGGGTACATCACAGACAAAGAAAATAGCAACAGCATGCAAGAGCAGATGCAAGTTCACAAAATAAAGACAAGTGGCAGCACTAGAGGGGCAGTGAGGAGGAGGAGTTGGGAGGCGGCAGGTGAGGCTGCTGGCTTCACGGCGGCTGCCTCCTGGAACCTCCCCCATGCTCCCAAACCCCCTCTACACACTCCTCAACGTCCCTAGTGCCACTCCCCTGGCTCCCCACACCCTCACACCCTCCCCCCCCCAGCGGCAGCTGCAGCAGTGGGAGAGAAAGGAGGAGGAGGGGAAGGGGATCACAGACACCCATCACCCCCATACCCGCCACCTCCATACCCTCCCCCCCACGGCTGCACGCGCAGCAGGGAGACGAAGGAGGAAGGGGGGGGGGGGGGGGGGGGGGGGGGTGGCGGGGAAGAAGCCGCCCCACGGCCACAGAGGGGTGGCGCGCAGGGAAGGGCAGGGGCGGCTGCACCGAGGGCAGGCGCGAGTAGGGCAGGGGCGGCTGCACCGAGTGCAGGCGCATGTGAGGCAGGGGCGGCTGCTCCGAGGGCAGGCGCGGGTGAGGCAGGGGCGGCTGCTCCGAGGGCAGACGCGGGTGAGTCAGGGGCGGCTGCTCGAAGGCAGGCGCGAGGTGAGGCAGAGGCGCCGTCGCGGGCGCCAGAGGCGGGTCCGCAGCGGCTCAGGGCACCGTCGCGGGCGCCAGGGGCGGGTCCGCGGCGGCTCTGGCCACTGTCACGGGCGCCAGGGGCGGGTCCGCGGCGGCTCAGGGAACCGTCCCGGGCGCCAGGGGCGGGTCCGCGGCGGCTCAGGGCACCGTCGCGGGCGCCAGGGGCGGTTCCGCGGCGGCTCAAGGCACTGTCGCGGGCGCCAGGGGCGGGTCCGCGGCGGCTCAGGGCACCGTCGCGGGCGCCAGGGGCGGGTCCGCGGCGGCTCAGGGCACCGTCGCGGGCGCCAGGGGCGGGTCCGCGGCGGCTCAGGGCGCCGTCGCGGGCGCCAGGGGCGGGTCCGCGGCGGCTCAGGGCACCGTCGCGGGCGCCAGGGGCGGGTCCGCGGCGGCTCAGGGCACCGCCCCGAGCACCAGAGGCGGGTCCGCGGCGGCTCAGGGCACCGTCGCGGGCGCCAGGGGCGGGTCCGCGGCGGCGCAGGGCACCGCCGCGGGCGCCAGAGGCGGGTCCGCGGCGGCTCAGGGCACCGTCGCGGGCGCCAGGGGCGGGTCCGCGACGGGCAGAAAAAACGTCACGCGCCACCCGGGCGCGGGACAGAGCGAAAATCGCCACGCGCCCGAGGCGCGCGACCGGAAAAACAGCGGCGGAAGCGTGAGGCTGGCCCACAGGCCAGGACTTAACAGACTCTAATACCATGTTAAGATAGTAGGAGCAGTGAATGCTAGGTTCAAGTGAGGGCCTAGGCTTAGTAGCCTAGGCCAAGGGAGTCGAGGTAGTTTGTGCCAAGGAGAGAGGAGAAAATGTTGGTTTCACTATGGAGAGGGTCACAACATATAGGGCAGGAAAGGGGGGTACACCACCAATCAGGATATCAAGATAACTACACTAGCGCTAGACCTACATGCAGTTATAACAGCATAATTCTGACACCGTCGCCTGTCGAGGCGACCTGGGGGGGGCCGCACGCGGCCCCCCAGGGCGCCGTGATGGGCGACGGGAAGGGGGGGCGCGCGGGCCCCCCGAGGGCGCCACGGCGGGCGTCAGGAGGGGGCCGCGCGCGGGCCCCCGAGGGCGCCACTGCGGGCGTCAGGAAGGGGCCGCGCGCGGGCCCCCGAAGGCGCCTCGACAGGCGACGGGAGGGGGTCACGCGCGGGCCCCCAAGGGCGCCACGCCGGGCGACGGAAGGGGGGGCCGCGCGGGCCCCCGAGGGCGCCACGACGGGCGACGAGGGGGCCGCTCACGAGCCCCCTTGGGCGACGAAACCGCCGTGCGCCCCGGGGCGCGCGACGGGCAGGGCACCGTCGCGCGCCACGGGGCGCACGACGGGCAGATCAGGGCGTCGCGCTGCCCCCAGGGCGGCGCGACGGGCAGAAAACCGCCGCGCGCCCCTAGCGCGCGGCGGGAAGAAAAAGGGCCGCGCGCGGATAGCGCGCGCCCGAGGCGCGCGATAGGCAGTGATGACAGCGGAAGCTTGGGTGGGCCCATGCACAGGATCGACCCAGGAGGGTCGACCTGCTCTGATTCCATGTTAGAAACAGCAGTTGAAAGTTAGAAACAAGAAAGAGGGGTTTCACTAGCAGGCAGTTGAGTATATATAGCAAACCCTAAATTGGGCTGTACTCACTATTGAGTACCCCACTGCAGGCTAGACAAAACATAACATTCTGACAGTGTTGAGATAATATGAAGACCTAAGCACTTCAAGGATTTGTGTAGTACAGTGCGAGACTTCGCACGTAACAGTAAAGTACCGATAGGCTGACGTCAGCAAAGCGCTACGCGCCCTAGGATGACATCAGCACGTAGCTATAGGCCTCGCGAATAGTTACGTACCGTTTCAGAACAGGAATAGCACAGTACAATAGGCGAACAGGTACTTTACTCTAGTTATATATTTTGTATGTTTGTCATTTTTAAATATATCTGATTTCAGAGACATTGATCCTGAAACATATCACTACATGGGCTTTTATTAGTCCAGACAAAGCCTTCTATAACTGGCTTTAACTCATATAAGACTTCCGCTACGACAGGAAGCTACCATCCTAAGTATTACGATCCTACTCAATCATTTCAAATTCTAACACACTAATCCGCCAAAAATTTACCCAAACACATCATTGCAGGCCCTAAATTTCACCCTTATAATCAGTATAGCAGTGTGAATTATACTGATAAATTGGCCCTGTTCAAAAGCCAAAATATTCGGGAAATTATGGCACCTTGCATGCAATTATGTGCGTTGTGTGAAGAAGTGGGCTAAATATACAGAGACATGTACAAGAGTTGTTGATTGGATTTGTAGCTCATCAGCCTCTGCGGGTATCGCTTGCCTCGCCTTGTGGAAACCTGGAGGGGCCGCCGCAGCTGCGACCCTTGCTTTCTGCGCGAGGCAGATTTGATCCATGCATCTTGGCTCCTCTTGCTCTGCCGCGGGCAGTGCTGGTACCCCGACGCCAGGCCTTTCGAGGGGGAAAATGCGCTGCTCGCTGAACATGTACCTTCGAATAACAGCGCCTTCCTTTCTTCCGGGAGAGAAACAATTGACATTTCAGCAGCTGTTTCAAAAGCTGTGAGTTCTTGGTTTGGGTATGACTGGAACTGTTTGCGGTCTTTGAGAGTTACATAGAGCAGAACTGTTTGCGCTGGTCAGCATGCAACGAAAGAAGTCTTTCGTGTAAAATAACAATCGAAACTGCAAAAGGACATTATCAAATCACCAGATACATATGTTAAGGCAAATCAGAGCATCAATATTATTCTGCTGAAAATATTCATTCATATTATGAAGTGTTTTATATCGCAATAAGTTTATATACTCATGCATATTTATATGTATAATGGGTTTTACAAACTGTGTTCCGCTATATATGGAACACTTTATGAATATATGAAAAGAAAATACTCTTCTGTTAGTATTTTTTTTTGTAACATCTGAGGATTAGTGTTTTTTCATTGATATTTTCTTAATAGAATCTGTGTCACAGCAGAAGTACGCACTGTCGAATGTAAAATAGGATATTAAATATGCAACTGTTACAAGATCGATCTTATATTGCGTAGAAAGTCAGGGTCTTTAAAAGGCGCCTTCCTTCCTGACCAAACGGGTGGACTTTGTTGTTATTGAAAAACAAATTCGTCCGTCTGAGTATTCTTCCTCTTTGCAGCTGTTCTGGCATGGCTGCTCTGCCCTCGGCTCTGCCCCTTCGCTTAGCTCAAGAGCCAAGGGCAACAACATATGCTGCTGGTGAAATGTGTCTCCACCATCTAACCCCACAGCTGACTTTCAATCCAGGCCAGAAGGGTGTTTATCGTAGTCTGCGCTTCAGAAAGGAAAGCATAACGGTGACCTTTTGTCGCCATCGCAGCAATGCCGTTGACACGCGATTCAGCATTCTGGCCCATGACTCGAGCGGCTGCTCCCTCCTTCGGGGAGCCTCATTCCAACTCCCCCCTCTCAGGCCAAAGCAAGCGTGGCTGGCCGTTGTCTTTGCCGAACCAGAACGAGTCTGCGAGCTTTTGCCTAACTAGACGAGCCTGGACGGCATTGGGTCGCGGAGTAACCATCCCGCGCATTGCGTTGCGTCAGAATCCGACCGATGCCAGCGAAGCGTGTGAGCGCGTCATAGCAGCAGCGGAGCCATGGTTCCTAAAAGCGACTCGGCCACGGCGGTGCCGCACGTGCGGCGGTGGTTGAGCCACCATTGGTTCCCCTCGCCCGCCGCCGCCGCCACTTCTCCATGCCAAAGGCCCTCGCCGTCCCGCCAGCATCCTAGCACTACCTCTACGACCCTCCCGTGTAGTAACAGCTGTTGCCGCGGCACCGAATCCACCACGCTAGAGGGGCGACGGGAGGTAACAGGGGGAGCGGATGATCGTAGTGCGAAGGCGGCAACGGCTAACTCACAATTAGCCTCACTCCACGCATCCCCAACCCGGCCCTCCGTGCCCCTCCTGTTTAGTTCGCGACTCGGATCTCCATCCCTCGAAGCCGACGAACCACACGCTGCCACGTCACTTGCCAGCCCCGCTCTGCTTGTGCCGCCAATGCCGCTGCCCATAAGAGTCGAGGCGACGGGCGGCAAGACGTGCCAGGTGGCGGGGGAGGGCAAGACATCAGGGCGATCGACGGCAAGCGCCGGCAGCGCCAGCAGCGCGGAGTGGAGCCCTCCGCGGGGCGCGCGCCCCGCCAGAGAAGTCAGGGGGGGCATTGCGAGGCGGCCGGCGGGGGCGGCCGCGGAAGAGAGGGGACGGAGCGGCGCGAGCAGCGAGGACGAGGCTCGTTCGGACGACGAGCGCCGCCTCTCGGAGCATTCAACGGCGCACGCCGCCAACACGGCTGCGCCCGCTCCCTCGTCGCGCCATGCGCGGCGCTCATCCCCCTCGCGCGCTCACTCCGCCGCCACAGACGCCGACGGCGCGGCCACGCCCGTCGCCGCACCGCCGCTGCCCCACGCGCACAGCGCCTCAAGTCCCCGCGGGAGTAGTGGCGAGTCCCGATGGTGGAAGCACGGAGGGCCGTCGGGCGGAGGATGGGGCCTCGGGCGCAGCTGGAGCAGTAGCGCAGTCAGCCATCCGCGCGCCGAGGTGAATGGCGGGGTGGGCGATAACGCACCAAGTGGTGCGGGGAGCGGCGGCGGCGGAAAGGTGTGGTGGTTCGGGTACCGGCGGGGCATCAGCGCGGACTACGACATCGGCGACCTGGTCGGGCGTGGGCGCACGGGGGAGGTGCGCCGAGCGACGGCGCGCAAGGGCGCGCGGAAAGGATTGCGGGAAAAGGCCGAGGAGCGGGGACCGCCGGTGGTGGTGAAGACGATCTGCAAGGCGGAGGTGCGCGGCGCGGGGTGAGAGCGCGGGGGAGGCGTTTTGGGGAAGAAAGGGGGGGACGGGGGAGGAGAAGGCTGTGGGGGAAGGGGGAAGGTGAGAGAGGGGAGGGATAGATGGGGGAAAGGGAAGGAAGGGCAAACTGCTTTTGTGTCATGTGACGTCGCTGCTCTGCCGTTCTCGTCTTTCCACCCTCTCTCACCACGCTCTCATTCCTATCACAGCGCTATCGGGCTAAACTCACTTGACCAGATTGCGCCACTGCCAGCACCGCGCCGGACGCTCGACTTTGGCGGAACGATGCACGGCAACCCCCCTCGTGCGCCCGCCGCCCTCACCATGTTCCCCCCGTGCCGTGCGTGTGTCTGCGTCGCGCCTCGCCCTCCTCCCCACCTCTTCCCCGCCTCTCAACCCCCCACCCCACTCCCCGCATCCCATGCGCGCAGCTCGCGACGGAGGAGTCGCGCGAGGCTGTGCGGCGCGAGGTGGCGATTCAGCGCATGCTGCCAGCGCACGCGCACGTGGCGGCGCTCGTGGACGCGTACGAGGACCGCCGCAACATCTACCTCGTGCTGCAGTCAGTGCCCCCGTCCCGCGCGCGCGCGCCCCTCCCGCTGCTCGCGTGCCCCTATCCTCGCTGCTCGCGCACCGCCCCCTTTACTCGCGACTCGCAGCCAGCGGCCTCTCTTAGCGACGCGCAGCGCTGTTGCCGCTTTACCCTCCTCCCGCGGCTCCCATGTAACGCCATGTGTGCCGTGCGGTGACGTGTGTGGTGTGTGGCAGGGAGTGCGAGGGCGGCGAGCTCATGGACCTCATGATGGCGCGCGGGTGAGTCACTCACCTGCCATGCTCTGCTCTCCAACCCGAGTTCCTCTTCCTCCCTCACCGCATGCATTCCCCTGCCCCTGCAAACTCTTCCCGCCGTGGGTCACTCAATCCGCCCCCCCATCCGCCCCTCTCCCCCCTGTGCGCATGCGCGCGAGCGCAGGGTGGGACATGCGGGCGAGGCGGCAGCGCGGCACGTGGTGTGGCAGGTGCTGCTGGCCCTGGCGCACTGCCATGCACACCTGGTCGTGCACCGGGACATCAAACCCGAGGTGGGAGGGGGGAAAGGGGCATGGCGAGGAGAGGGATGCTGGGGTGAGAGAATGTGGGGATGCTTGCAAGTGCAGCACGTCATTACCGCATGGCCCTGTTCCCACGCCACTCACTCCTCCCTGCTCTATCTTCCCCATGCTCCCATCCACGGCACAGAACGTGCTTCTAGCCAAGAGCAGCAGCGCCCATGACCCCCCCCATGTCAAGCTCATAGACTTCGGCCTCGCGGCGCTGCTGCCGCCCCTGCCCCTCTCCGCCTGCCCCGCGCCCACGAACGCTGCTGCTGCATGCCCTACTACTGCGCACAGTGCCACAGCACCCGCCAGCAGTGCCCCCCACGCCCAACAGCAACAGCAACAACACCACCAGCACCACCAGGCCCAACCAAACTCGAGCCTGCCCATCCCACCGCCCGCCCCCGTGCCCGCCTCCCCCGCCGAAGGCCCCCTATGCTCACTGCCCCCTGTGTGCGTGCCACTGCCGCAGCTGCACGAGCCGCTATCGGAGCTGCTAGGATCCCAGGACTACCTCTCCCCGGACGTGCTGCGCGCCAAGTACGGCACGCCCAGCGACCTCTTCTCACTGGCGTCGCTGGCGTACCTGCTGCTGTGCGGCCGCCTGCCCTTCTCGCCCTCGCCGCGCTGTCTGCGCACCACCATGCACGCTGTCGCCACGCAGCAAGCCGGGTTCACGGAGAGCGCGTGGGGGGACGCGGGGGAGGCGGGGATGGGCGTGGGCGTGGGTGAAGGAGTGAGGGCGGGCGTGGCGAGGGGGCCGTGTGTGTCGGGCGAGGGGCGGCACGCGGTGCAGAGCCTGATGGCCAAGGACGCTGCCCGGCGCCCCACCGCTGCCATGATGCTCTGTGCGTTGCGTTGTGTGCGTCGTGAAGGGAGGACGGCTTTACTGAGCATGGAAAACAAGGGGTGGATGCTCTGTGCTTGGGAAGTGCGATTTGGTTTTGCAAGGGGTGCAGGGGATGGTGGGAGCAGTGCGGATGGGGCCGCTGTATGCGTGCATTGCTGTAAATAACACTGTCACGTCACGTGCATGCTCAAGTGCGCCATCACCTACTGCACTCCACTCCTCTTCCTGCTTCCCCCCCCTTATGCGTCGGTAACCCCTCATCACGCCACCCACCCCCTCTCCCTCTCCCCCTGGCGCCCCCATGCATGCCATGAGGCCACCCCTGGTGCCAGTGCCTCCACCGCCTCTTGCCGCGCCTGATTCTCACCCCTCCCCTGCCCTCCTCATTGTTCCTCCGCCCTCTCTTCCTGTGCGCCCCCCAGGCCACCCGTGGTTCCACGACCTCCACACCCCTGCCACACGGCACGTCCCCACGCCTCCTGCCAGTGCGTCTGGCACCGTGCCTGCAAGCCCTGCCATGCCTCTGGACCCCTGCGTGCCGCTGTGCCTGCTGCACGTGCTGGCACTGCCTGCCCCGCACAAGCACCACCTCCAGGTGACCTCACTCCCCACCGCACCCTCGCTCCCCTGCTGCCACCACCCCCGCCTTGCAGCACTCGCACTGCACCCCACTCGCTTCTTCTCCATGCCTCGCCCCCCCACTCCTCCCCGCTCCCACCACCTTTCATCCTGCCCCTACCCTCTCTATGCGCCATGCCTCCCCCCGCCATGCGGCACCAGTCCCAGGCAATGCGAGTGTACAAGGACCAAGCGTGGGTGCGCGTGTATGCGGCGGTGCAGTGCCGGCACGTGGTGGGCGTGTGGCCGGGGGACAGCATGCACGTGGAGCAGGAGGGGGGGGGCGTGAGCGTGTCACTGTCGCACGTGCACAAGGTGGGCTGCACACCACACCCACCTGCAAGTTGTGAGGCGCATGATGGGCTGGATTGCCCTGCATTGCATGGACAGGCTCGCATGCCCATGCACCCCCTGCCACTACTTCCTGTCCTTCCCTGCTCATGTCTCTCTCATGGTGTTCAGTAGTTTTGCTGGAGTCTGGTGCATTACATGCCCATGCCATGCCATGCCATGCCATGCAATGCCCATGCCGTGCCATGCCATGCCATGCCATGCCCATGCCCATGCCCATGCCGTGTGGTGCATGCAGGTGCTCTCCCTCTGTGCGTGCAAGTCGTTGGCCGACTCCTTCCTCAACCAGGTGGTCCATCACTCCTCTGCCTCCGCTCTGCACCTCTCCTGCTCACCACACAAGCCCCCCACGCTGCACTGTGCTCTTCTCCTCCCCCTCGCCTCACCTCTATCTCTCTGCTATGCATCTTATGCCATGTCAAGGCTCTCGCACTCGGCACACTGCTTACCACCTCCTGTCATGTGTTGTGTGGTGCGTGCAGGTGTCACGGCTAGGGCTGAAACGAGTGAGAGCAACGCTCTTAGATGTGTTGATGGCGGCAAGCTTGGTCATGTTGCCATGTTTGTTTTAGTTCATGTGTAAAAATTATTTATTCTTTGCTTTCATGTCTCATCCTTGGCTCATCTTGAACGAAGGAGCACCTCTCAAGGGGAGGTGGTGGGAAAGATACTAGCTCATGCCATTTGATGGAAATCCATAATAATGACCAGTAGAGAGTGAGCTTGTAACGGTTTCAAGGAAGTGGCTTGCGGAAAGGTAGGTCAATTTCCAGGGGTCGCGTTCAACACGTTTCCAGTCGAGACCGCGACGGCGGCTACCACGGCCCTACGACAGCAAGGGCCCTCGACGACCTTGACTCGGCAGGATGGCAACTAACGACCAAGACTCCTAGCTGTTCGGCACCGACACAGCAGTGTAATGACGGTTTCGTATTGACCGGGTGCGACTGCTAGCAGCTGCATGAGAATCGGTGCAGGGTGGCGTGAGTCTTGGGAGTTATGTGTGTTTCTTTGAGAGTCACGCCACTCCTTGCAGTGTTGGCAGGAGTGGTGTGCACGGAATGCATTTCACTGCTGAGTTGGATGGAAGTTCGGCGGGGCACGTTCACCCACCCGCACACCACTTTCGTGGGGTTGGGTTACACCGAAGCGCCACGCAACATTTGTGCAACTCTTGCTTGCCTATATTTGCATGTGTGTTTGCTTTTGTATTCATGGATCATATTACATTTATTGTGAAGTCCAATTGCTACTAGAATTATCACGAAGTCCTTAGAGACAAACGCTACTGA